CCCGCCTGTGCGTGTAGGTCGCCTGAGGGCGTCTATTCTTCGCTCAGACAGTACGAGGTTAAAGGAGCAGCTGACTCGGGGACTCTGGCTCACTCAGGCCGGGGGCGGGGGGGTGGGGGGGAGGGAGGGGCACGGAGTGCGGGGCGGGCCTGCGGCGGCAGAGACCAGCGTGACGTTGCACCAGCCTGAGGCCCGCCGTGCGTTCTCCTGGGGAAGTTGTCCCTGGATTCCGGGACCCTGGCAGTGGCGGGCTGCACAGGCTCCCCAGAACGGGGTTGTGGAGAGTGACCTGTGCTCGCACACAGGCTTCTTGGTGGCGGCAGCAGCAGTCTTAGCGTCTCATGCCCGTCTCTGGGGTCCGCGCTTTTAGCCGCGGCTCGCGCCCGTCTCTAGAGCTCTTTTAAGCGGCGCCCGTAATCTCTCCTTGCGCACCAGAAAACAGAGGGAAGAAAAAGTCTCTTGCCTCTTCGGCAGCTCCAGACTCCTTCCCGGAGTCCTCCCCGGCTAGCCGTGGCACACTAACCCTTTGAGGGTGTGTTCACGCCGCCAACCCCAGTCCTCTCCCTGCGCTCCAATCGAAGCCCGAGCCTCAGCTCCCAGCCCCCGCCCACCCCGGCGGGTGAGCAGACAAGACTTTCGGGTTGGTGAGTGCAGGTCGGCACCAATCCTCTGTGCGGGAATCTCTCCGCTTTGCCCTCCGCACCCCTGTTGCTGTGCTTTCCTCCGTGGCTTCGAAGCTTCCCTGCTCCGCCACCCGCAGTCTCCGCCCGTGAAGGGGCTTCCTAGTGTGTGGAAACCTTTCCTCCTTCACAGCTCCCTCCCACTGGTGCAGGTCCCGTCCCTATTCTTTTGTCTGTTTTTTCTGTTTTCTTTCGCCCTACCCAGGTACGTGGGGAGTTTCTTGCCTTTTGGGAGGTCTGAGGTCTTCTGCCAGCGTTTCGTGGGTGTTCTATAGGAGCAGGTCCACATGTAGATGTATTCCTGATGTATCTGTGGGGATGAAGGTGATGCCCGCGTCTTACTCTTACGCCATCTTCTCCGGACTCGTCAGGCAGATTCTTTTTTTTTTTTTTTTTTCTGTGGTCCGCGGGCCTCTCACTGTTGTGGCCTCTCCTGTTGCGGAGCACAGGCTGCGGACGTGCAGGCTCAGCGGCTATGGCTCACGGGCCCAGCCGCTCCGCGGCATGTGGGATCTTCCTGGACCGGGGCATGAACCCGTGTCCCCTGCATCAGCAGGCGGACTCTCAACTGCTGTGCCACCAGGGAACCCGGCATGCAGATTCTTAACCACTGTACCACCAGGGACGTCTCAAAATGTTTTTTTTTAATAGCTGGTTTTTGTTTTTAATTCCAGCCCAGCATCCAGTGAATATTCTGTGCTTTTATGTTATGTGTTAGGTCCCTGTGGTCTCTTTTCATCTAGAGCAGTCCCTGGTTCCTTCTTGCAGTTTCTGTTTTCTTCCATAATATTAACTTTGTAAAGAGTCCAGGCTATTTGTTTTATAGGATGTTTTATATTCTGAATTTGATAGTTTCTTCATGGTGTTATTTAACTTCTTTCTCTATCCCTGTATTTCTGAAAGTTAGGTCTAGAGCAGTAATCCTCAAAGTGTCATCCCCAAAGCAGCAGCATCAGCATCATTTGGGGACTTGTGGGGAAAAAATGCAAATTCTTGGGCCGCATTACAAATCTACTGAATTTAACTGTGAATAAAACTCGGGAGGCAGGGTCTAGCCACCTGTGTTTTAACAGGACCTCCAGGTGATGCTGGTAAAAAACCTAAAGTTTGAGACCAATGGTTAAATATTTTTGGCAGGAATACATCATATTTAACTGTGTAAAGTTCAAATTACATCACATCAGAAGAGATAAATGTCAGGATGTCTCATTTGGCTAACCTGGTAACCACCATCTCTTTCCATTGTAAAGGTATACTTTCCCTTTGTAATTAATAAGAAATGTGTGACAGATACAGGTTTTTAAATGGGAAAGACTTTTAAGAGCTTATAAAATAACACATGTTCATTGGGAAAAACATTCCACATTCCACCTACAGAACTATTTTCATAGTGACACTCTGCAGAGATCCCTTCCATTACTGTGAATTTTCCCATAGGTTTTTTCTTTTATAGATATAACCTTACTGATTTTTCCTTTTAAACAAAAATGGAAGTATACTATGCTTTTTCTTGCAGCTTACTTTTTAATTTAGTAGTACATCTTAGACTTGTAGAGCTACGGTGTGCTTTTTAATGGCAGTGTACTGTTTCTATGCAAGGAGATATACATGTACTTTTTTTTTTAACATCTTTATTTTAGTATAATTGCTTTACAATGGTGTGTTAGTTTCTGCTTTATAACAAAGTGAATCAGCTATACATATACATGTATCCCCATATCTCCTCCCTGTTGCGTCTCCCTCCCACCCTGCCTATCCCACCCCTCTCGGTGATCACAAAGCACTGAGCTGATCTCCCTGTGCTGTGCGGCTGCTTCCCACTAGCTATCTCTTTTACATTTGGTAGTGTATATATGTCCATGCCACTCTCTTACTTCGTCCTAGCTTACCTTCCCCCTCCCCATGTCCTCAAGGCCCTTCCTCTACGTCTGCATCTTTATTCCTGTCCTGCCCCTAGGTTCTTCAGAACCATTTTTTTTCTTTAGATTCCATATATATGTGTTAGCATACAGTATTTGTTTTTCTCTTTCTGGCTTACTTCATTCTGTATGACAGATTCTAGGTCCATCCACCTCACTACAAATAACTCAATATCGTTTCTTTTTATGGCTGAGTAATATTCCATTGTATATATGTGCCACATCTTCTTTATCCATTCATCTGTTGATGGACAGTTAGGTTGCTTCCATGTCCTGGCTATTGTAAATAGAGCTGCAGTGAACATTTTGGTACATGACTCTTTTTGAATTATGGTTCTCTCAGGGTATATGCCCAGTAGTGGGATTGCTGGGTCGTATCGTAGTTCTATTTGTAGTTTTTTAAGGAACCTCCATACTGTTCTCCATAGTGGCTGTATCAGTTTACATTCCCACCAGCAGTGCAGGAGGGTTCCCTTCTCTCCACACCCTCTCCAGCATTGATTGTTCGTAGATGTTTTGATGATGGCCATCCTGACTGGTGTGAGGTGACACCTCATTGTCGTTTTGATTTGCATTTCTCTAATGATTAGTATACACATATTTTTGCTTCCTGCTTTTCTCACTGAATTTTATATCATGAGCACTTTCCCATGTCCTTGGCTTCATAGTATTCCAGCATATTAATGCAACATAATGTATTTAAACACTCCCTTTGTTAGACACTGAAGTTGCCTATAGTTTTTCATTCAAATGCTGTGAACATTTATGTGCATAAACTTTTGATTGCATCTGAGGTTATTTGCTCAGAATTAGGATAATTGGGTCCAAAGTTTAGAGTATGTTTAAGGCTCTTGATAAATTTTGGCAAGCTACTTAATTGAAATGTTGTACCAATTTATATCCTACCAGCCATGTCTGAGCCTCCAACTTCTGCCATCATTTAATGTTAGCATTTTTTTTAAAGTTTTTCCCAATTGATTAAGGACATTTGACTGTTTAATTTCTACTTCCTCGTTTACTGGCGAAATTTTTAAGGTTTGTTATTTGCATTTCATAGCCCATTTTAAAAATCTTTGAGCCATGATAGATCAGTTACGATAGTTTTGTAAATAAAACGTCACTTCAGCTAGCTCAGGTCCAGAGAGGAACGCATTAGGTGAGTGCTGGGATGTCTCAAGGACCTCTCTTTGGTTCAAAGAAGGTGACAGATTGGGATGTAGAATCTTAGTCCTAATTCCAGATCTCAGGGGAAGGACTCTGGTCCAGCATGAGTCAGGCGCGCATGCCCGGACCTGTCAGCCATGCCCCAGGAACACATTCGCGTGTCCACTTGGGTGCTCTCGGCCGAGCCATTCGTCCGTGCAGGGGGGCAGGAGGTGGCGGAAAAGGCCAGTCCTAGTAAACAGGCAAAGAGCAGTTGACAGAAAAACGTGAGGAACCAAGCAGGAGGTGCTCGCCGCATCTGCAGACCTGTTGCTGCCTTTTTATTATGGACATCTGAGTGTGGAGCATCAGCTGTGTCCCCGACAGGAGAGGAAGCTGCCGCTGGGCCCTCCATGGCTGGCTCCCGCTCACAACGGTTCCCTTCTTTGCTTTGGCCCTTGTCAGGCAGTGGGAGTGTGGCCCCATTGGGTGTTAGAGCCCTACAGGAAGTGTCCAGCTGGGGGAGCACAGGGGCACATGATTGGAAGGTGACAGTCATTTACTCCCTGAAACAGTCCCTTTTTTTTGTTTTTTTTGCTTGTTTTGGCCATGCGGCTTGTGGTGCCCGACCAGGGATTGAACCCGCACCCTTGGCGGTGAAAGTGAGGAGTCCGAACCATTGGACCGCCAAGTCCCTTGAAGCAATCCCTTTGAACTCTGTCCACAACCTTCTTCACATGTGCTTTGACTACTTTCAGTGAAGGACCAAGAGGATTTGTTCACTGGGAAAGCTGGATGAAAGCCCTGAGTATTCAGCTTCTTTCATTTCCTCTTGGGCAGCCACTGACATTTAAAAAGGGGAAGGGGGATTAAAAAAACAATTTTTTAATAAGGGGAGTCGGGGTAGCTCCATACTCCTTGACATAGTTTTTCCTTGCAGTAATAGTCTTGGCAATAATGTTCTAAGACCCATACAGATTCTTTTTTACCTACCAGGACTGTGTTGGCTCAAGTTGTATATTTACTGTGTATGTATAGTCTCTTAAACCCCTCAGGACTTTTAAATGAGAAAAAGAAGCTTTGGCCTACACAAAAACATGCTCAGGAATTCTGAAAAATCAGAGTTCCATGAATGCCACGGGAAAAGACTCGGCTGAGAGTCTTGCTTTGGTACTCCTGAGCCCGCCTCAGGAGTTAAGATGCCAGGTCCCATCCTTAAATCATCTCAGTCACTCGCCCTTCGCCCATTGAATCCTAGATGCGGGTTCTGGACAAGCTGATGGTTGAGCGACTCTCAGCAGAGAGGACGGAGTGCCTGAACCGCCTGCAGCAACACTCGGACTCAGAGAAGCACGAGGGAGAGAAACGGCAGGTGAAAACCAGGATCTGTCCGTGCTGACCTTGCACTTGCCACTCTTTCCCCCCCGAGTCAAGGGACTCGGACCCATCATTGAAAACTCTCAGGCCGAGATCCCCTAAAAGCGTTGGTGTCAAAGCGCGTGTCATTTTTATAACCTGAAATGAAGTCAGTAGGAAGGAGCCTGGAGTGTGGTTCCTGTTTGCGCTGAATGTGCTGGCCGCAGGTGGAGGCGGGGCAGTTTGTAGAACGTGCTGGAAAGCCGAGCTCCGCCCTGGATCACTGCTATGTATCGCGCCCCTGCTGGGCCTGCACAAGATTGGGTTCCTGCCCTCGGGCAGTTTGCGGTCCACCCCAGACAGCAGACGTGAAATGAGTACTTGCGAGCATGTGAGTGAGTTCATGCGCCTAGCAGCCAGACGTGCTTGGCGTGGAAGCCGTGGGAAGCTTTGGCTGTTGGCGTCTAAGGAGTCTCTAAGTAGCTTAATGAAGATCATAGTTAGCTATCGGCTTGGGCGCTGGGTGAATCCTGGGCTTCAGAGGGCCAACAGAGAAGGCCGTGTGGCCTGTGGGAGGCGGGTAATCCAAAACTTTGGGGCTTGTCCAGAAAAGAGCCTATCACAGTCGAAAAGTCCACATTCTTGAGGTTTTAATTCATTAAGCCATGTATCAAAGTCTCCTGACGATTTGTGTACTAACTTGTGGGGTTTTTTTAGATGTCCTTGGTGGATGAATTAAAAACTTGGTGCATGTTAAAGATTCAGAATCTGGAGCTGAAGCTTTCTGGAGATTCTAGGGCCTCCAGGACTAAATCCACACCATCCACTTGCGAGTCCTCCACAGGTAACCGACACCAACATGCAGAGAGAGCCCTTTCATCCAAAGGTGATGAAACCCCCCGGTTGTGTCCTCTTCTGTGTCTGAAGGCAGTCTGTGTGACAGGGCTGCGGGCAACACTGGATTGTAATGTGAACTCTGTAGGGGCAAGGACCATGCTTTGCCCACTACTGCATTCATAGTTCCTATACAGTAATAAAGCACTCCTATTTAAGTGTTCAGGAATATTTGAATGAAGGAATAAAAGAATTGTTGATCCGTGATAGCTGTGCAATCTTGATGGTGTCAGAGTTGGACCCCAATGATGAGGGTGAGGAAAGGATGTGTCATCTCAGAAGGGCACTCACTCCTGCCCTTGTGACTCTTTCCCTTTCTCGTCCTTGATCAGCCTTTTCTACCTTTGGCCAACTCCGTACAGCCTCATTAAAAAACAGTTCATGTATCAAAGCTGCCCCAGGGGCTGGATAAGAGATGCTTTGAGCCAGAGCATCTTTACATTAGCTACAGTGGCTACACTCAATGATGATCAGTTGAGGAGATTCATAGCCTTAGTAATTAGACCTCCATGGGGAGGTTTTGATATGTCACGTGTTTCATGTTACCATAGGCCATCTCTGTATTTGTGGTTTTATCTTCTTTGTGCCCGTAACAGTGGGGAAAATCCTGGGCAAACTTTTCATGCTAGGACTAATTATGGAATTTGTCATGGAGCTCTGGGTATGGGTAATAGGACCGCCTCTCCAAGTGGGAGCTCGGATCAAGGAACTAGTAACCGGGGCTATGGTCTGTAAAGGGCCCGGAAGTTAGAGAATGGGGGTATTGATTCTGATCAGTAAATGCCCAATTCTGTTTTAGGACAAGTAGTGAGATGTGTCATCCTTAGCTATCAGGAAATGGTACCCAGAGCCCTTTACTGTACGTTGAGACAGGCTAAAGGAAAGGCCAGTAACGTTTTTGGCTTAGATGCCATCAGTGTGTCTAACGCAACATCTCTGAAAGCCCTGACAAGCCAAGATGATAATCAGGGGAGAAGTGGAGGGGAAGGACAGGAGAAGTTGCACACGGTGGGTGATGGTTGATAATCAGGGGAGAAGTGGAGGGGAAGGACAGGAGAAGTTGCACACGTGGGTGATGGTTGAGAAGGCTGGTTTACAGGATTCCCGGGACTCTTAAATGCCAGCCCATGTGACTGTATGAACACGGATTCGCTCTCACTTTTGTTTTCCTTCCGAAACCAGGTGTGGATCAGTCAGTGGTGACCGCAGGTCCAGTAGCAGCCTCTGACAGCCCCCCTCAGGTGGTCAGGCCCAAGGAAAAGGCCCTCAGCTCCACAGCCGCCCACAGACTCCAGCAGGAGCTGTCTTCCTTGGACTGTACAGGCTCCCGACTGAGGAGTGTCAAGGTCCAGACAGCCTCGTTACCCTTGAAAGAGGCAGCCAAATGCGACCCGCAGGCTGGGCCCTGTGTTGACAGAGGCACCCAAACCAAGAAGTCTGGGAAAAGTGGGCAGACAAGGCACCGCGGCCAGCAGCCAGCACCCAGCACCACCTGTGGGCAGCTGCCACCAGCAGCAGGTGGCGAGCAGACTGCCCCTCATACTCGGGACACCTCCCAAGCGCTGGAGCTCACCCAGTATTTCTTTGAGGCTGTTTCCACCCAGATGGAAAAGTGGTATGAAAGGAAGATTGAAGAAGCACGAAGCCAAGCCAGTCAGAAAGCCCAGCAAGACAAGGCCACGCTGGAGGAACACATTAAAAGTTTAGAGGAGGAACTTGCTAAACTAAGGACTAAGGTACACAAGGAAAACTAGGGCCTGGGAAGTGGGACGAGAAAGGATTCCTGGGACTTCCCTGGTGGTCCAGTGGTTGACTCTGTGCTTCCAGTGCAGGGGGCGGGGGTTCGATCCCTGGTCTGGGAACTAGGATCCTGCATGCCGTGGGGAGGGCGGGGGGGAAGGATTCCTGAAGATTTCCGGTCCTGCAGCTGCAGAAGAGCTATGTCGGAGGTGTCAGTTATTGTACACATAGCAGACCTTGCCTTTTAAAAAAATCACTAATTTCTAAAACGTGCCAGACACATGCTTACTATGCCCTGAAGTTGTGAAGACTTCAACAATTAGACTGAAACTAGGGGACACTTGGTTTCAGGTTTCATTACAGATTTGAAACCTCAGCTCAAGTTCATCTGAAGTTCAAAAGCTCAGATTAAGCGAGCTGTGCTAAGAAACTGAAGGATGTGTAAGCCTAAACCCTAATATTCAGGATATGAAATAATGTAAATGAAAAGCAAGAAAAAATATGAATCCCTGTGCACTCAAGTCAAGCAGTCATTCATATCAACATGCCTGCTGTGCTGGACAGTCTTTCTGTAAGAGCTGTAACAGACACGCTGAACTCCCTCAAGTTCATAGTTCCCCAAATGCTGACATCTTAACCAGGGAAGACTCACCAAAGAAACTTTAAGGAGAAGGATTTTCATGATGTCACAAGATCCAGTATATCGTAAAATGTTTTGAAAAGTCAGTGTATTTAAATAATGGGTTAATTGGCTAATAATAGCGCTGGGAATGTCAATGAACTCAAACGAGAAAGATTCAGATCATTGGATCATGGTTTCTGTATCTTTCAGCCAAAAGAAAGAAACAGTACAATTAATCA